TTCAGTCTTATGTGTTTTCATTGATAATTCTTCAGACATCCAAATCATATCAATTCTGGAAAAAGAGCAATGTCTATTGGAATAAAAAGTAAAGTCTTTCTGCATCGGGTTCCATTTCCTCCAAACATCTTCTAATTTTTCTTGCTTAACTAATTCAAAAAAATTCTTTGGCAGTTTTCCGCTGAATTCGTTGTCCTTTTGTGGTTTTCTGTCTACACGATCTATTGTCCCATTAAAGTCTCCGGCCATAATAACTTGCTCATAAGTCAATTGTTGTAATTGGTCAGTTATATCCTTAAAAAATTTTTCCTTTGCTCCATTGGGTGCGTACACGTTGATCAACAATGTTTTTTTCTGCTGAATCATTAATTCCACACCCACGTATCTGCCATCTATGTCCTTAAAAATTTCTGTAGGTTGTAACTCCTTCTTCACATATGTCACAACTCCTTTTTTCTTGTTTGAGGCCGCAGAACAAAATTCAATTCCAAATAAAGCATTCTTTAAATATTTTATATCCTGTTTTCTAATATGTGTTTCTTGCAAGCATATCACGTTGCATTTCTGTTTCTGTATCCAATGATTGATTCTTTTCCTCTTGTTTGGTGAATTTAATCCATTAACATTCCATGACAACAATTTGTACTCCATTATGCGTTTTATTTTAAAGTTCTCCAAAGACGTCCGCATTGTCCGCCTTAAATTTATAAAAGTCCATCATCGATCTGATCTGAATCCTCCCACCTTGATACGTAAAGGATAAACCTTGTGGAATCTCCCATCTATATCTGATGCTCAAAGCTCTGAGTTTGTCCGCCAAGGATTTATACCTTTTCCTGTCTTGCAGTATTGTTCTTGGGAGTTCTCTCATCACCATAATTTTGTTTCCCTCTATTTCAAAAGGGACGGTGAATTGCTTCTTGAATATCTCCTCTGTTGTTGATCTTGTTACAAATTGTACAATTACATCCCTTGGTAAATTCTTCTTTTCTGCAATTCTGGAGTTCACTCTATAAATCAAATCAAAGTCTGAGTCCATTGACCCTTCCTCCTCGCCCAGAAAAGCCGTTATCACTTCCATCATTTTTTCTTTTAAGTTCTCATTCTCTGTTTCCTTAATGCCTCTGAATCTCAGATGAGTCTGCATCCTTCTGAACTCCATCATTGTCTCTGATCTTGTAATTTGTTGAGTCAAAGAATCTTGTTTCTCTTCTATTTTTTGTATCTTCTCCTCTGTCTCTGTAGTCTTGGTTGCATTTGCTTGAACATCCTTCTTAACTCCTTCCATTTCTTGCTTGATTGAAGTTATTTCTGTAGTAACCAGTTCCTTCAATGCTGTTATGTTCTTCTCTTGGACTTCTTCTAGATGTTTCAGATGAATCTGAGTTTGCTTCTCCAGTTGGTCCCCCAATGTTTTTTCTATCTGCTCCCCCATGGCTTGTATTGCCTCTGTCATTCTCTTCTCCATTGCTTCCATGGAGGCTTGCATCTCTTTTTTCTCTCTTTTCCTTGACATTTTGGGGGTTGAAGTAGATCCAATCCTAGGTCTCACAACCGGTTTAAGTTCTGGGTCTGAGTCGGCTCTTTTCTTGCCTCTCCTGGTCTCCGTCTTTCCAATTCACAAATTCGCAAAATAAAGCACTCTTCTAGATGGTAAGATTTAGTCCTCCATGCCTCTCTGTTTACGCTTTCCAAAGACCCTTAGAAATATATTAAAAAAACAAATTTAGTTGAAGTCCTCCTCAAAATGTCGGGCGCAACTTCTCTATGGTAATTTCGTGTAGAGTAGGTCAGGTTGGTATTTTGCAGGCCCTTCCTTCCGCATAAAACTCACTTCCGGTCCGGCACCTTTAAAAGTTCCACTGTCTTCCTTTCGCTAATGCCCGTCTAGGAATTCAACTTCCTGGATGTTTCACACGGACCTCTTTCTTTGTAACACCAGCCTGCTCTTCCCACGCTATTGTTCGTGAGTTTCGATTTTACAGTTGCGCACACGGCTCAATCTTCACCACAAGACCTGTTGATTGAATAGCCGCCACAGGACCATCCACTGGGGGTATCTGTAACAGCTCATTGGCATAACTGGGCAAAGCATACATTTTCCTGACAAAACCTGGAAACTGCTTGTTAGCAGTAGGCCTGTCCCATGCCACCCTTAACTGGCGCTTGAAATAGTCCGGAAAGGGAAAAACATTCTCTATATGCTCTTCTGGAGGAAAGAATTCCTGATCTCCTCTAGATCTGGATTTCATTTTAGGTTTTGAGGAGACCTGATCCTCAGAGGGAGGAGTCTCCTGGATTTTTAAGGCCTTCATGGCCTTTGACAAAAAATAATGATAGTCCTCCGCTTTGAAAAAAATGGCTGGCCTGCTCAAGCATCTTAATTTCCTCTGCCTCCTCATCTGAGAGGAACTCCCCCTCTATCATCCTCCATGGACCCCACAGACTCCTCATCTTCCCATTGCTCCGGTCTAGAACCTCTACAGGGTCTTGGGGGGGCTTTTTGGGCGGCTTTAGTGGGCCAGGAGGTAGGAGGCAGGGCCTGCTGGCCTTGGAGGGGTCCTTGTCCAGGGATACCCGCCCTCTCACAGAAGGAGGAGATGCCCTCCTGCATGACCTGGCAGAATGCTAACATTAGGTCAGCCGGGTTGATCGGGACCCCTTGGGAGGCATTACCCTCTCTGCGATCTAGTTCTGAGCCAAGGGAACGCGAATCGGAGGGCTTACAAACTCTGTCCGTTCCAGCGTCGCACTGCAGAGGCCTGGAGATGGCGCCTGGGTTCGGCTACGCTTCCACAAAATGGCCGCCGATCTTCGTCCGCTTGGAATTGGCGGGCTCCACTTCTTGCAGCCAGCGGCGCTTTTGTGCACGCTGCGCCGCCGACGCTGCCTCTGCCGCGCTCGTTGGGGCGGCACAAACAAGCCCCGAAGGCAGGTTGTCCCCACTGTTGAGTTGCGCTCCGCCCGTCGTTGCGGTGAGCGTTGGCACCTCGTCCCCCGAAGAGAAACCGTCAGAGTGCTCCGCCACCATCTCTCACGCTGGGGAGCACTTGGGAGGGTCTTGCCTCTCGACATCTTCTGGCTCCGCGAAGGAACGGGAAGCAGGAATAGAGGGGAAAGTGTGGGGGAGAAGAGAGGCAGAGAGAGAGAGAGAAAAGCTCCAAGGAAAAAGAAAAAACCACAAGCTAAAGGAGAAAGGTAAATGGACAGAAACGCAGAGCCCTGTCTCTAGCTGCTACTCTCTAAGAGGCAGGAATAGAACTGAGGGGCAGGGCTATTCCCAAGGCGCCAACAGGAAGGAGAAAAAAGTATTTCCTGCCTCCCTAAAGGAACAATGGGAATAACCCATGGAGATGTCCTCCTAACCTCAGAGGGAGAACAATCAGGGAGGTGTGCTTCCGTTTCGCTTCCCCAGTTGCCCTTTGGAGCCATACAATACGTGTGAAAGAGCCGCATGTGGCTCCCAAGCCGCAGTTTGGCCACCCCTGGTATAAGCTTTCTAGAGTCAAAGTTCCTTTTGTAAGCTTATACCCTGAACCTCCTCCAAAATTTGTGGATAGCATATGAGCTTTTGTGTCACTGCTCACTTCTTCAGCTACCCAAAGGTGAGTCACTGCTCACTTCTTCAGGTACCTGAAGGTATACCTGAAGAAGGGAACAGTCCCTCAGGAAAGTTCTTGACCTGCCACAAATTTCGTTAGTCTTTAAGGTGTGTTGAGAAAAAAAAAATCTGGTTTCTAGCGGCTATCCAAGAAAGCTTTATCACCTTCTCAATGCGCATGATTTTAAAAAAATCACAATTAGGCTTTTGTGATTTCACGCCTACTACTGAATACAGTCTCATGCTGTGTCTCACTGCAGTTGCATTAACCAGTTAGACACACCTGGCTTTCTGATGAGATAATGTTAGAAGGGCTAAACAAAGGAGATTTTGTATTTAATAATAATAAAAATAATAATAATTTAATACTTGTGATTGGCTAAAATAATACAGACGTGTAATCCTATATATTATTTGTTCTTTTGCCTTTGGGAGTATTTTGGCTCGGCGTTTAGATCCGTGCATGTACGTTAAACTGGGGTGTTGTTGGGGTTTTTTGGTCAATAAATCTCTGCATAAGAAATAATTCTGTTTGATCCTTCAATGTATCAGTCTTTGGATTTTAAAGGAAAACAATCCAGGGTGGTAAGCAGGGCTATTTTTGGGCAGGAACACACAGCTGGCTCCCAAGTTGGCCACACCCAGCAGGAACTCATTAGCATAACAGGCCACACCCAACAGCAGAAACTCATTAGGATTGGCTACAATTACAGGTGTGTGGCCTAACATGCAAAGTAGTTCCTGCTCAAAAAAAAAAAAGCCCTGGGTTTTGTCAACAAACAAGGTAAAGAGAATAAGAAGTGTGGCTGGATGACCACACTTCTGGTAACATGGGGGTGTGGCCTAATATGCTAATGAGTTCCTGCTGTTGGGTATGGCCTATTATGCTAATGAGTTCCTGCTGGGCTTTTTCTACGAAAAAAGCCCTGGTGGTAAGAATTCCCACCACAGGTGCTACTCGACTCTTGCTCTTTCTTCCCGCTACAGACACACAAACACGGCCTCCCATCTTGAGCTCCCTCTAAGCTGTGGGGTCTTGTGAGCAAAAATTCTACTTTTGTGAGCTACCGGCATTAAAGTTGTGAGCGAGCGATTCGCCTACTGCATAAATGAGTCGGCTCTGGAGCCCTCCTCCCTGAGCTCAGACAACAATGTGGGAGCTGGAGGGTAAAAAAACTGTGAGCCACCTCACACTAACTCAGCTTAGAGGCAACACCCCCCCCTCCCCCTTTTCCCGCCCATTTCTTAACGACTTTCCGCTCATCTCGACCCGGCGTGTTTTTTGGTGTTGTGTTTTTTTTTTACCGTCTCGCTCTCCCCGATTGGCTGGGCGGGCCGGGAGCGTGCGGAAATCACGTCAGTGCCCCGGATGCAGCCGCCGTTGGCGATGTGAGAGGGAAGGTTGGGGGAGGGGTGCCCAGGCCTTTGTGAGGTCAGGGGGCGGCGGCGGCGGCGCGTCGTTGGCTTCTTCCTGCCGGTATTGGCTCCGTTTTCTTCAGGTCGCGGTTTGGAGCGGCTCAATCTCGCCCGTCAGTCCCGCGGCCCTCCGAGCGTGCGGGAAGTAATCAGGGGTGCTCCCGGGGAGGCTTTTTCTCTCACGAGGGCGTAGCAGTGGTTTTTGCTCTCAAGCCGTTCGGCCTTGTGTGCAAGTGGCGCGCAGCGCTCCCTCTAAGCTGTGGAGTCCGGTGGGCAAAGAATTCCCACTTTGTGAGCTGCCGGCATTGGGCCGCTGCGTAGATCAGTTTGCTCTGGAGCCCTCCTCCCCGAGAGAAGACAGAAATGTGTGGGCTGGGGGCTAAAAAGCTGTGAGCTGACTCACCCTAACTCAGCTTAGAGGGAACACTTGGTGGTGTGTTCTGTGGGAATGTGCACTGCTTTTCGGTACCCAATATTTTAACTGTAAAAGCGTCTGTAGGCTTGTCCCCAGGTCTTGTTTCCTGGTCCCTCATGCAGAACTCCCCCAGTTCTGCCCCATCTGCAAGGGTGTAGACTTTCCAATTTCCCGGTGGCGGGGGGGGGGCTGGGGCTGGCCCAGGGGCATTGCTTTGCTAGGGGCAAGGGGGGCTCCCGGGGGGGCTGGGCCCCTTCCTGAAAATTTTGGCGGGGGCTAATGCCCCACCGCCCCCACAAAGATTACGCCTATCTGTATGGTAGTCTTCTGCTCCCACTTGCTATCCTATATATCAGTGATTTCTGTATAGAATGTCTATATGGTGCCTCGTTTAAATCACTTCTCAGTAAATACTTCATTTACATTACTCTTCAGAATACAGGTTTTCTGTGAAATCTTTGGGTGAACATTTTCAACTCTGTACAGAAATCAAGCTTAAGTATGTTTTATTTCGTTTATGCCCTACCTTTCTCCCCAGTGGGGACCCAAAGTGGCTTATATCATTCTCTCCTCCATTTTATCCTTACAACAACCCCGTGAGGCAAGTCAGGCTGAAAGGCTATGACAGGTCCAAGGTCACAGAGCAAGCTTCCATGACCAGTGGACATTTAAACTTGGGTCTTCCAGATTTTAGTCTTGGATTTTTAACCACTTGGACTTTTAACCAACATTTGTGCAGGCTGGTTCCTTGATAGTCTTCTTTTGTTCTCCCTCCCCTAGTCAAAATTTAGATTGGAAATTCCTTGTTCAGTGCCATGTTTATTAATTATGGTATGTAAATAACAATCTGCAGTGCTCAGACTTTTAAAAATATGTGACATTTATCTCTTGACAGGTTTGAACTCAGTAGTCCCTTTAAAAAGTGTTTTTGATTAAATCGTGTGAACAACACTTTTTCAAAATGAGCACCGAGAGTGAACTTGAGAAACCGGAACCTGGGGAACCAGAACTCGAGGAACCTGGGGAACCAGAACCCGAGGAACCTGTGGAACCAGAACCCGAGGAACCTGAGAAACCAGAACCCGAGGAACCTGAGAAACCAGAACCTGAGGAACCTGTGGAACCAGAACCCGAGGAACCTGAGAAACCAGAACCTGAAAAACCAGCCACCAAGATATATTACTGTGAGGTGGGTTCTTTGTGGTGGTCCTACTAGTATTAGGATTGCAACAAATTTGCTGTGGGGAAAAAGTGTATGATGAAGTTCCTTGAAATTAAATTAGTGCTGAATAAACCTTTTGTCCACTCTGTGTTGAAATTGAGAAATCCTGTTGTGAATTCATCTTAGTTAAAGTGTCAGAATTGCTTATGGAGTTAATATCTTATGAAATTAAATGAAATCACTTCTGCTCAGGCGGGTTCGCAAACTTCTTTCTTGATAGCTTGTAGAAACTTGTTCAGGTATTTCAAAATATATTTACTGATCAGTAGTGAAGGGTATCGTTTTGCGTGGCCTAGATGTATAGACCACCCACAGGAAACGGCTGTGCACCATCTGCAGATCAATTTTGTTCCAGGAGATATGGAATGTCTGGAATGGGTGCATACCAGCAAAGTAAAGGAGGGACTCAGCTCCTATAGCATGATTCAGAATGTGCGTGGGCCATGAAGGATTTTTATCTTTACTATTTTTGTACAGTCCAGCAAGCACTGAAAGACACATTGGAAACTGCAGGTTTCACTGATGGCCATTTTAGTTAAACAATTATACAAATGCTTCCTGTGCTACCCTCAGAGCAGTCCTGCTTCTCTTAGAATGCTGCTAGTTTTATTGTGAAGTTTAGTTCTCACCAGGTTTAACTGAAATGTAGTAATTGGGGATGATGCTTTAGATTTGCTACTGGAAATAGTCACAAATATTTGCCTGTAAGCATGTAACTTCATAAAAGTTTGATTGCTATCTTTACAAAACAGTTTAATTAGCAAAATATATAACAGAAAATTTCTTTTGACTTCTTCAGCTTTGTAAAGTTCCATGTATGAGCGCTATGATACTCCAGACGCACTTTGCTGGAATGAGACATAAAAAGGTAATTTGTTGTAGTCTAAAGATAAACTCTGTTCTTGCATTCTAAATTGTTTAATGTTTGAATGGCATGTGCATACATAGGCTTTGAAAATAACTTTAGCTGTGTTCTGAGTTAAGAATGATGTTACTGGGAAAAAATTAAGACCCAAGTAGTAAATCTGGTGTAGAGAATCTAACTTCCATCTTCTGATGGCTTCCCATGAAATAAATACAACTGCTTTGGAGTGGCTAGTGAATTACAGTGTTTGGTTTCAAGTCCTTTCAGCTGTGTAGTGTGGTGTTCTCATACGCAATACTAGGGATGTGCAAAAAAATGGGATTTTTAGGGTTCAGGTACATTGAACCCAAAATATATCTGTATTTTCCAATATTCCCAATGTCCCAATTCCAGTATGGTATTCAGATTCAGGGATTTTTTGGAAAACCCAAAATCTTTCATCTCCATTATACTCTCGGGGGGGGGGGAGGCTGTTTTTTGAGGTAGAGGCACCAAATTTGCAGGATAGCTGCTGGTGCCTCTACCTCAAAAACCCCTTCAAGTTTCAAAAATATTGGACCCGGGGGTCTGATTCTGTGGGCCCCCAAAGAAGGTGCCCCCATCTTCCATTGCTTTCAATGGAAGGGGAAAAGGCATTTTAAAGGATTGCTGTCCCCATAAATGCCTTCTCCAAGCTGCCCCACTGCAGCAGCGCAACTCAGTAAGTGAACTCAGAAGGCATTTAAAGTGCTTGTAGTCCTTTCAAATGCCTTCTCCAGGAGGTGAGTTCACCCAGAAGGCTTTTAAAGGGATTGCAATCCCTTTAAACACCCTTTAACCTTGACTGTCCGGCAGCCCTGAAAAATCCCAAAAATATTTTGGATAGTGGAATAATGTCCCCCACCCCACCCCCAGGCTGAAAGAATATCTGGAAAATACTGATAAGGTATTTCCCAGGTATTTTTTCAGCTCAGAGTTAGCTGAACACACATTCCTATGCAATACATGTCCTGTAAATAGTAGATCTTAAAGCAGCCTAAAAAAAGCGATTGAATGTTCATCTGACTGAACTGTGCCATTTAGCAGGTTTAAAACCTTGAGCCACCTTTTATGTGGTTCCTGTGTTTTATAAATATGTTCAGTGGTTTCAACTCAATTTAGCTTTCAGTTTGATTTTTTGCTAGGAAGCTCCTAGAATTCTCATGCAAAATTCCACATGCAGTTTGAAAGCTATAAAGGCCTAAGTTGCATGGAACCATTTTTGTAACAGGTTGCTTTCTCCAATCTTAATTTGGAAGCTTACTGAGCACTTTCCCATCAGTGTAGGTTTTTTGTGCCTTGTTTGGAAAGCAGGATCCCATAGAAAAATGTTCGTCGCTTTTTCCTTGCTAACCTTACCCTTTAGAGAGTCTAAAACTTAAGCATCTTTCTGATGGATGTTGAAATTAGTTCTTGGATGAAGGATGAAGCCAAAGGAGTATTAGTGGTTTAAAAGTTTTGGTCGCTTAAACTGGTTTGAGAAGGAGTTTTTTGGGAACGTTGTACATTTTAATTTATTTTCTCCCTTGAACTTTTGATATACTGTGAACCGTGTGTGTACTCAAACATATTGTTAAAATATCTATAGTGATGCATCATTTGTTGCATCACTGATATAGCATCGTTGGTTGATGCCTGGTGGAGGACTCTTTGTGCTTTGAACACAATTTTTCCAGCTTATCTCCTTCCAATGCAAAACTAAAATTTTGAAGAGAATTTTTAATTGCTATGAAACACATGAAGCTGTCAAACTGAATTTGTTTATCAAAGTCAGTATTGTCTAATGTCTGCTCAGACTGGCAGTGTCTCTCCAGGGTCTCAGGCTGAAGCCTTTCACATCACCTAATGCCATGTCAGAGATTGAACCTGGGACCTTCTGCATGCAGAGTAGGTTATTTACCACTGAGGTATGGGCCCTCCCCTGAAATGATAGTGTATCTTCTTCATACAAATGATTTGTCTTGAATAGAGGCTATCAGATATCTCAACTTTATAATTAAAACCCTGGTGAGATAAACAGCTATCTTATTCTATCTCTGATCTTCCAAGATAAATTTTGAAATATTTGTAGTTTCTTCTTAATCCTGCAGTTACATAAACGTGTAACCATCTATTTTTGTTTTGCCATATTTGTTTCTCAAATATGCTTTTCTAAAGAAGAATTCAAAATACGCTGCAAGTTCAATAAAACAACCAGAGAACTATTGACTTCTTACAATGTGATGGGACATGTCTCCGTTTGCAGGATAAAGCTCATCTTACTGAACATGCATCCATATATTGGATTTTCTCACCTCTCTTCTGTTTCATGTAACATGTTGCTCTGCGACTTACATATTTCTGGTCTTAATTGTATTTTGATTAATGGAAACAGGTAGGTAGTCAGTACTGCCATTGGGCAGGCATTGGAGCAAGATCTTTAGTTTCTTCCATTTCTAGTTCTGCAAGTCGAGGAGCTGAAGCAGAAAAAAAGGTTCTAAAGCCCATGATTCCTTGCTCAAGGTTTTACCTTGCTATGATGTAGTTTACTACTGTACAGTATCTCCCCGGAACGGAAACATATTTGTGCCTTATGAATACCGTCCTTTGGTAGGGCTTCTTAGACTTCTTGCTTCCATCATCCATATTCTTCCCTTCTTTAGTGGATGGCTACTATGAAAGCAACAAGCCACCTGAACAGATTGTGTTTCTGCTGTGTTGTACTGCAAGGCTGCTGATTGTAAATTGAGAGAAGAGCCATTCATCTTGGTACAACATAAATTATAACGACTGTCTTGCCAAAGCTGTCTTGCCAAAATAAGAATTTCGAGAGTTGAGTGCATGGCTGAGGGGGAGTGTTGCACCTCATCTGTAAAAATCACCGTATTTGTGAAAATGCGTGCTGAAGATTGTTAGTCAAATAGCCAGGATTCCTTACTATTCCAGGAATAGGTCAAGACTTGCAGGAATCTCAGGAGGTGAACATCTTCGTATGAAACTATGCTTCCAAAGAACATTTCAAACTATCTGACTAGTATAATTGTTTTGATGTATATGGGAGACTGGCAGTCCTTTCTCTCCTGATGGCCAGGTAGTGGAAAGACCACAGTAAAGCAAGAGAATCAGAAGCAGTGTTCTCCTTATGAGCTGATCCAGTATAAGTCGACAGAAGTCATTTGTATTTCCAGGACTCAGAGCACAGACAACATTGATTACTGTCATGAAATACCTGAACTTTTACATAAAAGCTCCAGAAATGGTGTGGATTGAGTGTTGAAGATGGGATGTCAAGAACAACAAACGAGAAACATCATGACAGCAGAAATTTGGTTGTTCAAACATACAGACTTTTTAATAGCACGTCATACCAGGTTTTTTTTAAAAAAAATTAGACATTTTATTAACCATTTAAAATGTCATACCAGTTGGCCAGTCTAGCTTTGTATAGTCCTGACTGGCAGCAGCTCTCCATATCTGCATGCCTGGTTTGATCTGGAAGCATCAGCAATAGCAAGGTCTCCAGAAGTCTAGGGTCAGCAGAACTGCACTGAAGGTGCTATGGTCTTCCTTTTTTCTGTTATTTAAAACCTTGAATGTTGCTGGTAGTGCTGTGGGTTTGCTGGGAAATTTTTCTGATTCAAATTTTTATTATGAAAAAAGCCAAATGAACCTTGCGCAAGGGCTAGACCATGTACAAGCCTTGGGCTTTCCCCATACTTCATATCTTACAATTAGCCTGTCTAACATGATGGACTTGCAGCACAGCAGCTCTGAAAACTTACAGAATCTATTTACATATGTGGGGTGGACTGTTCTCCATGGAAAAATATAGCATTGGAAAATTACCACCCCATATCACTGGTTATTGAGGTTTTGAAGAATACTTTAATAAAGAAGTTTTCAGGTAAATGCAATCATAAGACATAAAAGAATAGAAAATATTTAGCAGTGAGCCAGGAGAGAGGATTAAATAGCTTGGTGGTCTACTGTATTCTTTTTCACTAGGGTATTGCATGTTAGATAGTCTTTATTGGCCATGACATTCTCTGAGGGTGTTGTGTTAATTTGTAAGCTTCAAGAGAGTCTTCCTCGCTCTAGTGATCTTTACCAGATTGACCGTGTTTGGAATATTTAGATTAATTATAAGAACAAATCTGCCGGCTTCAGCAAAACATACACAGAGAGATTATAGCCGGAATACAATTTTAATTAATTGTATGTAGTAATTGTAATATAGGATGGCACATTATAGACTCATTAGAACGGGTAAGCTAATTACTTTATACACAGCTTTCTGAGAACATGCATTTGAAAAGGCAATAAAAAGGATAATCAAAATAACAAAACAAAGCAATACAACCAGGTTAATAACATGTTTGTCTTGAAGCAAAAACTGCAAAATTTAAAGTTCAAGTTTTCAATAATTATGGTTTCTCACTACCAAAGTTGCCTGATCTGTAAAATTCTAGGAATGAACTTAGAAATCTTCTCTGTGATAGGCTTGCTTTGAGGTGCAGGTATTTATGAGTGGAGGACATTCTGAGATGGTAAGCTGATAAGGATGGCATTATATGCTTAGATTTGAACTGTTGGATTGGCTAATGTTTGTGTACCATCTATATTTTAGAGTATGGATGTAATTGGCCTGTGTTCCTGAAAGAGTAATCTTTTTATGATGGCTTTAACTGCCTCCAGCGATAGCCGGAACGATGTTTTGCATTGCCATAGCTGGTGTTACGTAGTGCTCTGAGCTGTGCTTTGCAGTTACTGGAAGTCTTAGAATTTGGTTTTATATATGGCACTTCAAAAGAACAGAAGTTTCGCCATATCTGATGTGTAGTTATTAAAACTGCACACAGTTCCATAGCTACTGTGTTTGGATATTATCCCATTGTATCTGGAGGTCTTGAAGCATCCCACAAATTTTAAAACCAGGGCATAATAGAAAGCACGTGGAATATTAGGGTGAAAACCTACAGAACTAAAACCTCACAGAAACCATATTTTATGCTAGCAGGGTTACTGAATCAAAATTACTAGTCATGCCCCCAAAGAGTATCTGGGGGTACCAGATGGGAAGAATTTAGAAATATGAACAATTTGTCATGTAAAAGTAAGTATGCTCCCTCTAAGCTGTGGAGTTCTGTGAGCAAAAATTCTGCTTTGTGAGCTACCGGCATTAAAGTTGTGAGCTAGCGATTTGGCTACTGCATAAATTACTTTGCTCTGGAGCCCTCCTTCCTGAGCTGAGACAAAAATGTGTGACCTGGAGGCCAAAAAACTGAGCTAGCTCACACTAGCTCAGTTAGAGGGAACTCTAGTTAGTGGGCTGGTGTGCCTTCTGTCAGTGGCTGCGGGTCACACACACTAAATAATCCACTTTCAATGCACTTCCCAACTGGATTATGCCAGTTCACCCAGTAAAATCCCGTTGAAAAGTGCACTTTAGTGTGTGTGACCACAGCCAGTAATTTTCGGTGTTAGGCGTACTTTTCTAAGACAGCATATGGAATTGGATGGTGAGATTTAAGCCTTTCCCAGATCATCTGCAGTGGTATTTGGATAGGTTATTCTGTGAACGCAGGTCATTGCTACTGTTTCTGGTCATTTTAATGCAAAAAGCTGTATACAGCTTTAGGGTTTATTTTTCAGAATTGCTTAATAACTGATTCTTTAAAAGTTTATTTTGTTATTGTTTTTTTTGCTTCTTTGGGTCTCTTCTTCTCATGCTGTAGACTCACAAGGCCTTTCTCTTTTCCTGTTGTTCCTTAACCAGAAGGCAAGAATGAGTCTTGGCTGGCTTGTGAGGAGTTTAGGAAGATACAACTTACATCCTTGACTTGAAACACTTAAGTTATTTTGCCTTTGTGTGGCTGCTTGGTTATATTGTTGTGCTGAAGAAGAAAAGGCTATCTCATTTTCCAGCTATTCCTTTAGGGATAGAGTTGTCCTTGAGTGACATCTGACAATTCACCAGCTTTAGGGATAGCTGCAGCTGGGTGTGATACCATGTAAAGCAGTATCCCCCAAGCCTGTGGCCTGTTCTTAGAGTGAAAGTGAGGAGGCCACTCTTGACTCTATCCCTAAATCCCTTCACGATGAGGATGTTTCCTGGGACTTGGTGAAGCTGCGTAACTTTTCCTATGGACTATTTGCTGTTTTCAGGAAAAGATGCTGTGAGGACGGTCCCTCTCCTGTGCTTAGGGACAGTGAATTTCCATTAAATCCTCCCTGCTGGATAAGACACAGATGAGTTGCTGAACTCTCTTGAAATAGGAGTTAAAACTCTGGATTGAGTGCTCGGAATTTATAGGAGTCTTCACTTATATTCTGGAACTGGTGTTTCATTTGGTCCAAGCAAAACCTTACATTCTTTTTACATTCTGAAGCTTATTTCACCATCCTACTCATGAAGGGCTTTATTCAAGAAAGCAGTTTTCGTTGGTGACCCTACCAAAAGTTCTTGAAATGACACGGTCAGATTGAATTTGATAGAAATTCTGTGAGCAGTTCTCTGTGAACATGTGCGAACCTAGTGGGTTGCACACCTGTTCCATTCATCTGTTGAGCCACTGTGGAGTAATCCAGGGTGGAAGGGGGTACCCCCCCCCCCCCCCCGGTATAAGATAAACTCTGCTAATATACTGTAGTGTACTGGATGGGCAAAGTATACTTGACAGTTTCTGAAACTTCTGATTAGGGATGGGAGAGTAATGTATATCTAAATAACATCGTAGGATACATATTCATTCTTGATAGCCAATGATTTCCCATTCTTCTAATGAATAGGCAGTTTCCACTTCGATCTGTTTTATCTTTGGTCAATAGCTGGGTCTTCAGGTAGTTCTTGTCTTAATGATATTGAACTTTTTTGGGGGGCACGTAATAGTTCAAGCATGTGGAAAACCTTGTCTCATGGATCAAATTGTTATAATTTTGTAATCTTATCTGCCCTTTTTCCAAGGAGCTCAGTGTGTGCTTCAGTGGTCCCTCTTCTTCCATGTTACCCTGTGAGGTAGCTGAGAGAGTGTGACTGGCTCATAGTTGCCTAGCCAGAGACATGGCACAGTGGGAATGTGAACCTAGGCCTTCCAGAGATTACAAGTCTGACACTTCAACCACTACACCAAGCTGGCTCTCCAGCTTGAAATATTATTAAATCTTGTGTCTTGGAAAAATTACAGAGGTAGCATATAATGACTTAGAATAACCTGCTAAAAACTGAATAGTTAATATTGTAGTTAATGCTTGTCGTCCCCCCTCCCCAAATATTCTGGAGACTTCAGTTCCTCTTCTAATTCCACTTTTTTTGCCCCAAATTTGTTCTACTGATGGAGTTCATTTTAAGTGTCTCATATTTCCTGATGGCTTTTCTGGAAACTTCAGGAAAATTGATTATACATCAGTTTCACAGCATGACCCAAAATCTTGATTTTGCAGGATTCCTGTCCCTAGGATTGTAGGAACTGTTACTGTACAAAAATCAAGATTTTGTGTATGCTATCCCAAAAATCTGGCTGTGTCAGCCACATCATCTGCAGAAGTCTGTCACCTGTTAATGAGAAATACCAGGGTTAATCTCAATTTAACCTTGTATTCCTTGGAGTCATAATTCCATTTTCAGCACTTTCTAGCTTTTGCAGAAAATTACAAAGGCAGTACTTTTTTTTTACCAATAAAAGTTGGCCTTTGTTATCATTTGTCTGCAAAAGCTATGGGCAAAGTAACAGTTTCTTGTTTTTAAAAAGATAGTTAATGAATTATTCTTCTATTTTATGTTCGGAACGCTTGCACCTTCATACTTAGAGAGAAAGAGCCCTGAAGAGAAAATGTAAGTGTATACATATTTCCGGTTTTGCTCTTGTTTGAGAATTCGTAAATTATTTAAACTGTTTTGGTTTTGCTGCTTTCACGACAGTCTGGTGCACAGTGTGTATCTTCTGTGATTGGATTGATCCTCATACAGAAATGTTACCCATAATCTTTCTAGCCTTCATTTTCAATTTAATAGAAACTTAGACAAGTTCTTTTGAATTAGTGTAATTATTCCTTTCTGGAACTATACCAATGAAAGGCTGTCTGGCCTTCGGCAGTAATAAGAGCTGTGTTCTAGACAGTGGGTGGTCAGGTCCACATCTTAAAGGACAGGGTTATTGAAGTATCTGAGGGCTAGACTCAGACACCTGTTTGCAAACCCTGGTCAGGGAACTGGAAAGTAGGGGTGTGCACAAACTGGTTCATGAGGCAAAGTTTGTCACAAACTTGTCCCAGTTCGAAGCCCCCAAATTGATGTTCAGAGAAGGTGGCTTCCCCGAACATTTACTGAACTTTTGTCCAGTTTGGTTAGGCTGTTTGGGCCATTTAAACCTAACAGCTGAGCAGTGTGGGTCCGCCTATCAGCTGTTAGGTTTAAATGGCTGCCAGCCATTTCAGGAATCTGTTCCGCTTCCCCCTGCTTGGAAGCGAGTGGAAGCGAAATGACTTGCTGAAATGGCTTGCAGCGATTTAAACCTAACAGCGGGGCGGGTCCGCCCATCAGCTGTTAGGTTTAAATAGCTGCCATCTATTTACCCCTTCATGGCTGGGAGAAAGGTGGCTCTGAACCTGCGGTTCAGTTCAGGATATTTTTTGGCTTGGTTTGGGGTTTGGTTTGGGAACACCCCCTCTCCCCCAAACCAGGATGTTTAGGTTCATGCCCATCCCTACTGGAGTGACTGGCAAGCAGCTGGAAAGTGTTGCAGGGAGGGGGAGAGTGGTGAAAGGAAACTCTGATTGTTCTTTTCTATCACATTTCCTCTGTCCTCCCTTTCTTTCAGCCCTTCACCCTTCCCAGCATACACCAGTGTTATGGGATGATTGGTGCAGGAAGCAAGTGACAGGTTAGGGATGGGTTAAGCCTGTTGCTGCTTCCTCCCGCCACTGTTTTATTTTTCAGATGTTCAATAGCTGCCTGCCAGACATCCTTTCCTTGCCAAAAAGTAAATAACATTTGCTTCACTGGTATTTACTTCCAATAAAGTGTGCTTAGAATGAGTCTTAAGGCCAGCTGCCACATAAGTTACTAGTGATTCTTCTACATGATGTCAGCTATGTTGGTCTTAATTTGAAAGTACCACTGAGGTACAACTAGGCACCTCCATCAGCTTCCACATGATGGCAGTACCGTACAATGCAGCTCCTACTTTTTATCTAGTGAAGGAAACTACAATAGAAGGTAAGTTTGGATTTCAGTCTAACTACCGTAAATTAATGAATTCAGTACAGTCAGAATATTTAACTTCACAAAGACAACGGTTTTCTGTAGAACGCTAAAAAAGACAAACTGATAAAAGGATGCTTGCCTTCATTGATTCAGTTCCAATTCAAAACAATGTTGTGTGGAATAAATTCTGTATACTGGTTGGGGTGTTCGTAGGTGGAGGCTAGTTTGTCAGGGCTTGGAGTGAAAGTAAGCTGGGAATCAAGAGGCAAAAGAGAAAAGAGGGTCCAGCCCAAGAGCCTAACAGTGTGACAAAGGCAGGGATACTTCAAAGTGTCCATGGTCCCTCGGGAGCAGTGGCATTATACCGCATATTGGATACTAATAGGAAAGCATAATTCTTGGGTGTTTTCCTAGGTGCTCCAGTGATAAATGAAGAACCACTGTCTGGTAAGTATGCCAATACTCAGTACTGAATAACACAGGTATTCCAATAATCAAAATCACAAATTTTTAAATCTGATAGCAAAATTCACATAATTTCATAATTTGGGGCTGATAAGTAATCCATGTGATGACGTACCCAAATCTCTGGTGCACCTATATTTATATTATGTGCACTTTTGAGAGTCTGAAGAAGGATATTGCAGAATTGGGGGAAATAAAGAAAAGGTAGAGAAAAATGGATAGGGAATAGAGCATTTTGTGAGCAGAGTAGTTTAAGATGTTGGTGTTTTTCAGTTTAGCCAAAAGTGGGCAGAGGGTGATTCGTACAATTACGACGGGAGGAAGTGTGGAGAGAAGGAATTATATTCACACTCCTGACACTAGAACTTTGAGACACGGATGAAATTTATGAGTAGGTGGTTGATATGACCTTGTTTAATGTATGGAATTTATGGCCACATGCTACTGTGATGGTCTTTGGCAAAGGTGATAGTAAATGGCTGACGGATTCACAGAGGATAAATTTACAGTGGCTGTTATCCAAAATAATAAGAATAGGGTTCCCCTTGTTGAGATCTAGCATATCTCCAGTTGCCATGTACAAACAGGCATTGTCATCTCCATTCCTGACTTCGTTTAAGAACTTTCCAGAGGCATCTAGCTGCCTGCCCTTGAAGATGGTCCTGGACTAGATGCACTTTGCCAAGATTGACGGTTGAGTTGGTTGTACAGAATACAGCTGTGGATCTTGGTGGTGAGATTCACCAGTTTCCATTACCTCAATAGATTCCCCCCCTTCCCAGTACACTGATCTCCTTGAAGTGCTACTATCGGAGGGACAAGGGGCCCTCTCCACCCAAAACAGCAGGAAAAGTGAATCAGTAACACACACACACACACACACACACACACACACACCACCCATTACTGGAAACTATCGTTGAGATACTTGCCATGATCTAGAATACATGGACCAAATTTGTTTTTCTCTATCTTCCACAGACTAACAAACAACTTTTAGTTGGCAAGCTTTCAAGCCTTGCAATTCTTTTTCAAGCATAATGCTGAAAAACATAATATTAAAATGGATAGAAAGAGGGAAATTGTTGCTGTCCGCTATTGTTTCCCGTTCCCTGGATCTACTCTGTGTGTGGGAATGAGGTGTTTAGCAGACAGGCTGCCCTCTTGGACCAAGGTGCTCCTTAGCAGACTCTTACCACAACCTAGAGATTTTAAATACATTAATAGGTTGCTGTGGGCCACCTGTGGGCTTCCCTGCTTCTGCATACAGTCTGTGTATGTGATGGGGGAAAGTACTACATCCTATCCCTTTATCCTTTAGTAGGTAGAGTGTGCTTGAACAGCAGGCTTGTGAGGGTAAAATGACTAGAGTCTCTCAGAATCAAAGTATACATTTTGAAAAAGGTTTTGTTCTGTGTACACATGAATTAATGGGAAAACTAAATGATGAAAATACAGGGTAAAAAAGAAGCAGCTTCTTGATTTTTAGAATATGGGAAAGGCTTAAGTTTCCCACAGCATGGTATTGAGAAGAGGGTGCGGCAAAAGAGTTACAAAGAGTGCTTCTTGCAGTCCCATATTTCAAGGATGTCTCTCACAAGCAAGGATTTTATCTTGATCCGGTCAGAAATTGGGGCACTCTCTCAGACTTGCTGCCGAAGGAGAACTTGGCCAGTAAAATATTTCCCCATGTTTGCGGGGCCTGTAGTACAGAGCATAAAGCATCGAGGTAGTGGTGCAGAGGAATGTTCAGAGCATTGAACATTCTATGTTGTTCCCCCTGGGTTGAGAGCCAGTTTGGTGTAGTGGTTAAGTGTGTGGACTCTAATCTGGGAGAACCGGGTTTGATTCCCCACTCCTCCACTCTCAGCTGCTGGATGACCATGGTCAAGCCATAGTTCTGTTAGAGGTGTTCTTGAAAAGAGCAGTTTCTGTCAGAGCTCTCTCAGCCCCACCTACCTCACAGCGTGTCTGTTGTGGGGAGGGGAAGGGAAAGGAGTTTGTAAGCCGCTCTGAGACTTTGAGTGGAGGGTGGGGTACAAATCCAATCTCCTCTTCTCTTCATTTGCCAGGTCACTGGAACAGTGACATCTGTGTGCTGATTCCCCCAATCCCAGATGCTTATCCTTCTCTTACTATAACAGAGCTTGTGGTGCAACCAAAACCTTACACAAGACATGGGCTGCTTTTGCCCAGAACATAATGGTGTGCTATAACAGTCCCTGACAGATCAGGATATGTCCATTTATGCAATCTGGTTTTGTAAAATTTACATTAAAGAGCCATGAAGGAAGAATTACAGCAAGACTCAAAAACTCGCAGCACTTCTGAGCAGCTAGTTGGCCTTAGAGTTATAGGCTATGTATTGTGTCAGTGGATTTCTGTAGGCAGGAAGTGTGATGAATGTCCACCGTCTTAGAATTGCCCCATATAATACAAGGGTTTTTTTCCCCTCTTAGTAAAGAGACCACTTTCAAAAAGCATAAGATGTCTGAAAGATTACATGAAGGATCCCAACAGAGAAGAGCCTCTTATAGGTAAGTAGTTTTAGTTGGAAAACGTCATTAGTTTTTATAGTTAAGAAATCAAACAGCCAGACGTCCTCTACAACAGTAGTAGGTTAAAGTCAAAGGAAGGAAGGGTGTGTGCAGAGTGAAAGTAATTGTTGAACCTCTCTTTGGTCCCTCCTAATCACAGGAGTGGGATGGGGGCAGAATTTTCCCTTCTCTCAGCAGTCTTCCTACTTAATGGGACCCTGAAAGGGAAGTGGATGGGAGCATTAAGGGTGGAGCACACAGCATTTTGGATACCATTTCTCAGTTACTTGAGGCTATGAAAAACTCTTCAGGTCCAGGGAGCTGGCTCTTACCTGTGATCTTGTCTTGTGATTATTTTAATATGAGTAACAGTTCTTAAGTTGCTTCAGGTAGTTGGTTGCATTACAGTAAATTTCTTGGCCTTACCTCTGATGGGTGCTTTTGAGACAACATGTGCTTAAACATGTTACACATAGCAGTGGCGTTCTGCCAAGGAATAAATAGAATAAATACTACTCCTCTGCATATCACACCTAATCCAATCACGCCTGCTGTTGTCATTTCGCATCTGAAATCATTCCACTTTCCAAGATATAGGGACAGATGAACTCACATTCTAGCTGTATCTGAAGAAGTGAGCAGTTACTCACGAAAGCTCCTCCCCCTGCCACAAATTTTGTTAGTCTTCACGGTGCTACTAGTCTCTTGCTCTTTTCTACTGCTAAGGAAGAAATAGTGATGGTTCAGAATCATCTTTACATTTCAGTTTAAGTGTTGCTATGCTTTGTATAACTCATTTCCCTGTTGTGAGGAGATCAGCTGTCTGCATTTGAAGGCTGCTTAATGTTGAGTGTCTGTTTCCATGAAGCCTGGGTTTTGTGATATTTGGGTCTGGAGCCTCCATCCCTGCATGTTTCCTCCAGACCTGTAGTTCTGCCAGCAGAGCTGTTGTGTGCTTGGATTTCTCAGCTCCCTACATACTTGCAGCCACATGATTGCTTTTGCTGCATCACCCTGATCCACATATTGGTAACTTCAAGCTTGCGCCATTGCTCACATATAATGGCATACACATTTTTCACTACATAAAAGCTGAGTCTGTATTTTTGGAGAGAGCATCTTTGAACAGCTAGTGTTAACCAGGACATCTTTAGTGCATCACTCTGAGGGACTGGAAAACATAGGAAGTCTTTCATGTTGCTTGCAATTCATAACATTGACTGGTACATTAAATTGTATATATTTTGAAAGTTGCATAGACTTCTTTCCCCGTTGCTGTGTTTGCATCTACAGGTTTGGAATATGTGCTCGAGGTTCGATTTCAAGGGAGAAGAGATCCTTGTTATGAATGCCAGCTGTGCCAGTTTAATACAGAGATAGTGCCAATGATAGAACATCTCATTGGCCAAAGACACAGAAAAGTATATCTTGTAAGTTAATTGTATCTTGTGCCTGGGGAACTGGAAAGGGTGTAAGGGTAACTTCAGCTCTGGCAATTTTTTTCTCATCCAGTATGGAGTAAGAGTAAGATAGCATGTCTTACCTCGATTCATAGTAAAAAATCAGAATGGTGACATATGCACTATACTGCTAGTTCCTATCTCTTTAGAATAGATGAGGTATTCTAAGATGGGAAATGCCAAAGGTGGGTTTTGCTATAGTTCCCTAGGCAAGTCAATACCAGCGAGGCAGAATCCTTGAGATTATCTGGGATCAGGGGTTTGATACCTGGGAGAGGATAAATGAATGTTTGCTTGAGGAGCAGATTGGCTTGCTTTGACCCAAGGTAGTAAAGTGACGTGTAAAGATGTAAAATGTCCAGAAATTCTGAAGCCATGTTGTCTCAGTGGAAAAAAACAGAAATTTGGGGAGACATTGACATTTTGTTGCTTCAACATCATTTATAACTACTGGCGTATTTTATGGAATTTAAAAGGATATATGCCTTAGCTTTCTTAATCAAAATTGCAAATGCATCCAATGCTAAAGCAAGATAGCACTGTGAACTGCCGCACCCTGTGCTATCTTAGCATGTTTTACTTATTCCAGAAAAGAAGATTCAGTTTCATAAGATTTTCTTTGGTCACTCCCCAAGATTTCCTGATTTTCCCGATGGAATAATTTGAAAAAGTAAAGTTCTCAGACATCATGCTATACAGGCAAATGAAACCTTGACTTTAAAAGCATTTCGCTCAACTCAAAGAAAAATACTTGGAATTAGTTGTTTTCATTTCTCTTCAAAATATTCCAGTTTTTCCTTCCGGATAATAGCAGGCTATATATTAGTAATAGCCTGTATTTAAAAAGCATTTCACTAAATCCAAGAAGGCAAAAATTCAAGGAGTGTTTTTAGTGCCTTCCAAGTGCTTACTGGAAAAACTGAAAGTCCTCAGAGTGAATATGTCATGAATTTTTTTCAGTGATCTCCAAATGATCTCCAAATGTCCAGTTTTTCTATTGGAAAAATTTAGGGGAAAGTGGGGGGGGGGGATCTCCTTTTCTATAGTTTTCCAGCTTTTTTCCGGAGTCTTCACATTTATTTATTTATTTATTTATTTATATTTAAATTTATACCCCGCCCTACCCCGGAGGCTCAGGGTGTCATGTGACAATTGCTAAATGAATACTTTACTTATTGATTTTTTTAAAAAAAATAGCTACCTACTTCAGGTACTTGGGCTATAACGTAGGCTTACATATTAAAACTCATCTGTCTTTTCTCTTGGCAGATGAAACATTTTCCAGATAAAGGAAAGAGAAACGCAAATGATCCTAAAGAAGACAGAGTTAGATTTCTTAGGCGAATAGCAAGAGAAGTAGAGAAGGAAGAAGGTTTAAAAATGTATAAGGTAAGAAGATGCAGACAACAGCTGGTAACACTGCAATAACATGCCAGGCTTTTGAGTAGGGGCCGCTGCCACCACTATTCCATCACCGCAATTTATGTATCATCGCACCACTTCCACCATTATGTGGTTCTATCGGGGGGTGGGGTGCGAGGTGACCCTGGAAGGAGAAGGGATGACAGGCTATTGGAATGTTGCCGTTGGATTAAGATCTACCCCATCTTGTGATAAAGGGAGCACTGACACTTTGTTGTTTGTATTATATTGTTTTATTCTGTATGCTGTTTTTAACTGTTTTAACTTTGGCACTCGTACCTCGCTGTTAGCCGCCCTGAGCCTTCGGGGAGGGCGGGATATAAATCCAAAAATAAATAAATAAATAGGAAATGATAATTCGGTTGATGTTCTAAAATTCAATTTGTTTAATATTTTAGAAACATCTGTCACTTTAATTCAATGCAAAAATAGGAGGTTAAAAACCTACAGCAAATGTAGAACATTTTAATCTCTAAAGATTAGCCTGGCTAGGCTCATTAAAGATGCAGTCTCACTGATGCATAAAGTCAGGTGACACTGGGACTAAAAACTATAAGTCTATATATCTAATAGCCAAGTCGCCCCCTGGTGTGCGGATAGCTAAATCCGTGCACCGGGGGGACCTGGCGGGGAGGGGCCGGCGGTCCCCACGTGTGCACAAAAATCTGAAAACTTAAAAAAAAATGGGGGATACTTAAATCCCCCCAAAACTGACAGAGCGTCCCCTGTGCGTACGCAGGGAACACTCTGCAGCCAGCCTCCTCGCCGCCGCCTCGGAGCTGAGCGGGGGGCGGGGCAGCGAGACCTGGCTGGCTACAAGCTGCCGGGCCTCGCTGGGGAGGGGAGGGGGAAGAGACGAGCGGCCCAGCGGCAGGAGCCGCCGGGGCTCGCTTCGGAGGAGAGGGGGAGGAGGGGGGGAGAGATGAGCGAGGCCCGACGGCTCGCTTAGGAGGGGAGGGGGAGAGAGA